GTACGATAAAGATCAAATTACTGGGAAACAAATAGCAAGCCATAAAAAATACCGCGATACGAAATCGCGAACGACTGCGGAAGTGAACGGTGAAAGTACATAAAGCATAAATTCCAGAACGTTGGTTGCGATCGCGTGTTATACGATTGTTGTACACGGTTAAGGGCCGTGCACATACATACGTAGAGATGCATAATTCATGCACCGGTGCATCATGCGTTGCTATATTCACCTCTCAAATTTTTTTACTTTCTACGATAGCGTAGAAACCGACGTGCATTATGCGAAAAATGCGGAGATTAACAAAAAGAACACTGCTTTTTATCGCATTAAGCGAAATATTTAAGTTTTATTCGTATAAATGATAAAAGTGGAAAGGAAACGATACAGGAACGATATAGAATAGATTAACGACTCGATTTTTATTCTCGATCTTTTTAATAAAATTTGCATTTTAAAGCATGTTGTACTTTAATTAATCATCAATTTTATATTATAAGCGATGCTCATCGAGCGTAGACGCGAAACGTAAGTAAATTTTAATTAAATTTGAAATTCGCGAAACTGTAAAATTCAGATTTATAAGCATGCTATTTTATTTTTCATTCGATGCCAACGGATAGATACAATTATTTATTTATTTTCTTGGGAATATAATATATTATGAAGCTGATAATTTTCATAAATTAAAATATCGTACAATTCATTCACATAAATGAAAATTAAAATATATTTCAGCATCTTTTTAATCTGTGAACAAAATATAAAGAGTTCATTGAAAGTAAGTTACTTTTCAAAAAGATTTTTATATATTTCTTTATACAAAAATTATAATAAGCAGATTTTCTATGTATTAATAGATAATCGTTAATAAAACATTGATTTCTATAACAATTATGTTTGTTAAAGAATCCAATCTATTTTTTTGAATATATTTCAGAATAAATAATAAACCATCTAACTCGAATGTAAGCAATAAATCAAGAAAAAGAAAAGTCAATTAGACGAGCACAAGAATGTTAAATTAATAATAAATAAAAATCATAAGTTTAATATTCTTGGAAATGTTTCAACTTTACAAAGCCTTCTTCAGTCCATATAAACTCATAAAATTACATTAATTTTATGGATAATTCTATGAGTTTATGAGCTGAAGAAGACTTTGTGACTTACGCGTTTGTATAGAATATGCTAAGAATTTCCGAAAATGCCATCTTCATTATTCTCTCTTCTTTTTATTTATTTATGGTCGATTATTTTTCTAAGAAAATGTCGAGCTACCTGTGGATTTTAATGTGAATTGAAAATAATGAAATTTCAGATAATTATGCTTTGCAAAGAAAAATAAATGAAGATATTAATTTTAAACATAATAATTAACAATTAATATTAAATAAAATTTAATTTTTATTTGAAATTTAGTTATTACCTGAAATTTCATTATTTTCGATTCGAAACACATTAAAAGCCACAGGTATCTTGACATTTTCATAGAGAAATAATCGACCACAAATAAGTAAAAAAAAAAAAAAAAAAAGAGAATAATAAGAGAGAAGGACATTTCGGAAATTCTTAGAATATTCCATACAAACGCGTAAGTTCCTTGAATGTGATTAACGAGAATCCTATAGAGCATGGTGGCTTGGCGTCTGCCTCGACTTCCATGCATCCCACAAGCGATATTCGCAAAGCCGCACCTATCGAGACTTACAGGCCGTTTACATCGTTTAACGTGCTGTAATACCACCACGCACGTTTACCTCGTAATGGCAACGGCGCGCGCGACAGGAAATATAATACTTACCGCATAACTGACGGTACGGCTGTAGTAGGGCGGTGTGGTCGTCCTGAAAGTAGGGATAGGTGTAGCTGGGGTCAACAGTTTGATAGAGCGCTTATCGATGACAACCTTAGGAGATTCCACGCCGACCCAATACGTGCTGTAATCTTGAGCAAAGGTGGCACTAGAAAAAAAGAAACAGATTGGATCATTAAGCGATGACACAAAGATTGTAATAAAAATAATAGAAAATTATTTCAGAACGTACAAAACTTATAGCTTGTAGCATTTTCGAGATACTATATTTAAAAAAATCATTTATACTTTTTTATTCTATATATTTTCTTTTTGCATATATAACTATACATTTTTATATTAATTTCCTAAGTATCATCAGGTCATCGTGATTTTGTCACGTGATTTTACATTACAGTTTCGTATTTACATATTAATCTTGAGGAAACATTAAATGTTGACTTATAATTATTATTTCTAAAAAACTTTGACATATTTTAAATTATCTAAACTCCACATTTACAAATATATTTACATGAGGAACGGAAAAATAAAATATTTCTTCTGTATGTCGGCTAATCCATCAACTGTACCCATCATCGCGCATGTATTGCTTTTACCTTTTCTGATCGGACTGCGCTGCAACCTTTTCCTATCAAATCCCCGTGTTGCAGTCTCCCGTAAGGCTTGTCTTTTTTATAGATGGAAACATTTTATAGATGGACATGGATCATTATCTTGTTATAACATTGCAATTAATGTCAGCGATCAAATTGCATCAGTTGCGTCCGCAACTTTTATGGGCGAAATTAGAATGGAACGACGAAGATACTTTTTCAAGGGTCTATACACTCCCACAAATAATATGGGACACATTGCTATGACTCAAATATGAAAAATCTGATGTAATTCTGATGTTGTTCGTCCCGTTCAGATAAAAATCTCTCTCGCTTACGTATACCTGTGGTGCGCACGCCGATTGTACACAGGCATACGGGACCTACAATTTTATGCCGAGTCCGAACGGCTTAATTGAGAGAGATTTCCGTGGCAAAGATACTCTTGGCAGTTTGCCAGATATCACCGAAGAGGAGACACAAACGTAAAGAAAAACATTCTTCATTTTGCTGGGAATCGAACCCGGGACCTCTAGCAAAGACCAGTGCGCTGTCTACTATGCCACGCTCTCGCCTTCATTTCCTTTACGTAATTTTGAAAACATCTATATATCCATATATTTCTTTTATTTTGTTTCTTTATTACTGTTTTTCATTTTATTATTATATCATAGTGTTATTGATTGTAGTGATATTGATTAATCTATTTATAGCTTCTATTTTTCACATTAGTGAATATTAATTTTATTTTTATTTTCTCTATTTAAGAAAAAAGATTACTTGATTGAATTTTTGAGCTCTTTTTATTTGCAACATATTGTAATATAGCAGAATACTAATTGTTCGGTATGTGATAGGATAGTTATATAGTTATATAGGTTATTTTGTAGTAATATCTTAATGGGAATTTCGTTATTGTTTGGTAAAAAACTCATTTTTTCTAATTTCCGATTATCTCTGATATAAGAATTAAAATGACCGAATGAATGAATGATCAGAAATAACAAAGTGTAGAAACAAACTTAGCAATTATAAAATCAATCTCAAAATTTAAACATTAGAAATATATAAAGTTATAAAATTTAAAGCTTTTAAAATTTAAAAATTTTAATCAATATTTTTAATCCCATTTCTTAAATAAAAATTGCTAATATTCTAAATTAAAATTAAAAATTTTTGATATTTTTCAATAATCAATTATTAATCCTATTCATATCCTATATAAAATTCATATCCTATTAAAGCATATCAAAATTCTCTGCAAAGTCGCGATATTAAAAATGTTGAAAGTATCTGCGCATAAATCCCCTTTATAGCTTTTTCATTAATACCGTGGCCACGGCAAAATACAACGTCAGAAAACAAAAGCAAGAAATTCCCAAAGGATTCTGTAAAAACGAAATAAAATTCAGACTTCTCGAAATAAATTACGAAGTTTTAACAGAGAGTTTCGCAGCTGTGCGTCCTATTAAACATGCATTAATAACTCCGTATCGATTATTACGAGGAAAAGTTCATAAGGAATGTTTCGCGCGTTTCTCACACCGTTATGCCCGCACGAGCGCGTTGAATTCCAAACACGAGCCGCATCCGCGCGTATGGTAATACCTAATTGTGATTCATAAGTGTGTTTCATAAGTACGATGCATGTCCACGTGTGGGTTTAAATCTACGCACGCGCGTGCGCGCGCGCGCGCGCGCGCGCGTGTGTGCGTGCAGCGGTTGGAATCAGTTGCTGGAATCATGACTCAACGATTAAGTCGTTTCCAGACGCTGATGTTTCTTGTTCTAAATTTTATAGGAATGCGGGAACTTAGCGATTTAGCAAGTTCGCGGAAATAACAAACTCTCTCGGGGTCTTGACGCGATTCTTGACGTGGTAACACATACAAACATTTGAATCTGATATATGATCTATTATATAATTAATCGATCATCACGCAACAAAATAAAATAAAATTACGATAAATCTTTAAAGATGTCAGAGCATACTTTGAATTATTCGCAATTTAGAATTGCGATATACATCTTTTATTTTATTAAAAGTGTGATTTACATTATCATATATATATATATATATATATATATATTT